TATCATTATTTTATAATACATTTTCATATATTTATGTTAGAGTACAAATTTAAAAAATATTACTACTTATTTAAATAACTTTTGATCCAGATGGTTAATTGTTTCTATATTTTTTGTATTATTATTAAATGAAATTTAGAATAGTCTGTAATTTTTTCAAGTAGTTCTTAACATATTGCATTTGCCTTTTACAACCTCCTTAAGTGAATTTGGCTATATTGATCACGCACGTGCTATACTACTCGATAGCACGGAGAGAGAGGCATCCATCTCTGTTATACTTCCATTCACGCCATCTTCACGGTACTGCGCGTTCGTGCATCGAACTCTTCGGAGTAGAATAGGAACCGGTGCCTCTCATGAATGCATCCTTGGCATCAACTTTCATGAACACCTTCCACAAATCATACCGGTGTCAGTTTCGATCAAACGATGATGTGAATATATGCTTGATAGATTGTATTCGACGAGTGTACGGAACAATCAGCTGTTTTACCGGCACGCAAATGCAGTTACGTAAATTATCTCGAGCCACCACCGTTGAATATATGTAAAATAACATACACTCCTTTGACAGACTTAAACACTTTCAGTTCGTAACAATTTAAAGCTGTAATTGTTGTATGTAAAATGTGAGTCCAATTTCGTATCTAAATTATTCTAAGACTATTCGTCTTATACGTATGTAAATCATCTTCCTAAATTCTTCAAAATTTGTCAGATAAATCACAAGTCAAGGAATAAGAATAAGTTTTCCTTATAATCTTCGTTGCTAGTAGATGTTAATTAAAAAGCTGTAAGAAAATAAGATCTTATGTATATTGTAAAATATTAATTTTAGACATTAATTATAATGCAGTTTTAATTTTATATATTATCTTTTCCAGATCTTAATGTAGCTCTACCAGCTAGTATCTGTATTTCTAACAATCATGTATAAATTCCTTCAATTTGCATCCTTTTTAAATTAAAATTGAGAGTTTATTTTTATTATATTCAGGTATCTATAATCTTTTGATGAAAACATCCGATTTTGTTACCAATGTAAATACTGCTTTACGAAGTTCGTCATTGTAATCATGAAAATAGTAAGATTATGTAATGTAATTGTTTTGCCGATTCATTTACCAGTTATTATTAGAAAACTTAAGAAACAATAATCATCAGTTCGCGATTGGCATTTTAATAACTCGAGGATCTTGAAGTGACGTCAACGTAGAATGCCAATGTCAATGTCAATTTGTTAATACTTGCAAACCCATAAAAAGATCAATAATTACTTGTGAAAATATTTTCATCCGTATCTACGTTAATGTAAAATTTACCTACCTGATTAATTTTATAATTCACTTACTAACTTAATCCAGACATGTAGGTATGCGCGGATAAGAAAAAAACAGTGCATATAAAAATTATTTTGTGATATCAGATTAATCTTTCTTAAGTTTTTCTCTACTAAATGTGCTGTGTTGTGTTAATAATGTATCTTTACATTAGAGAGTCGTGATTATGCATATGTATTACACACTCATAAATCCTACCGTCAAGAGATTGAGACAAAGACATGTTCGCAAAATCATGGTCATGGTGGTGCTTCATGAGGTTGCAATATGCGTTCTTCGAGTTTCCTCTTCGTCGTTTTTTTTTGCAGCGATCGCCGCGTCAAAACGTTCCTTTACTTCTCAAGTAAAACTCGCCTATTTACATACATTCAGTCTCCATTGCGATAACTGCACGAAAAAATTTTCTCGATCAAAATAATCGAAATCTAGAATTCACATACATCTTCTTATCTTCTTATAATAATGCAAATAATAAGATGTATTGATGTAAATTCTCCATGAGAAAAGAAAAGCGTGCGAGATTGCGACATTTATAAAAATTCATGAATGTCGAGAAGAAGAGAGAAAGAAAGAGAAAGGAAAAAAATCACCCACTTTCGCGGACCGGATAAGACCGAGGAAGAAAGAAACGGAAGAGGAACGCAGTCATCAACAGCGTCGATGTCGTCGAGGCGGACTGAGAGGACGCGATACTGTGACTGAGAACCGGCGATGTGTCCCTGCATTTCCAGATCCGCTGTACACGACGGATCTACGCTCCTTTCTTCGCGACCATCCCCCTCCATGTAAGAGCCGTATGACGGTTTTTCCCATCTAATACCGCGCTCGCCCACCATCACGAGTACTCCACATTCACATGACGCGTGAACGAGTTTGAAATTATTAATTTGTGGCATGCGTAACCGTTGCACGTGCCACACGTGATCTTGCGATGGATTCTCTTGTATTGGGTTCAGACATGCATTGTGGGTTCAGATTCCCACCCGAGTGTCAAGTCGGAAACACAATAAAAAGTATAGACTATAGGAACAGGAAATAACAAATTTTGACCTATATATATATATATTAGAGACCATGTATATTAGAATGGACGCTTTCTGATATATATAGGTTGAAATTTCTTATTCCTTTTTCCTATTGCCTGTGCTTTTCATTGTGTTTCCGGTTTCACTCAGGCGTATCACTCCATCTTTGTTGTTAGAACAGAACGTTAAACAAAGATAACATGATTATACTCGAGGAGGAACATTCGGATATACACCCTCGGATGACGTAAAAGGGTGACAATCGGCGGTCCATGAATTCTGGCTTTTTTGCTCGTATAATACTTGTAGAGACATTATGCAAAAATGTCGCTAATTAGATCCGAATTCTCTTATTGAATATCGTATTGTCGTACGTCGAATGTCGTACGCTGTGTGATCCTACATTAAATAACGATAATCAATGGGAACCGCGCCTTTTTCTTAGGATCGTCCTTGCCTATTTGGCTATCGTTAGTTAGTTATCAACACCGATAGTTGTCGATAGCCATATATATACGCACATACAACTAAAATACAGACCCAAAACATCTTCTATCAGGTTATAGATATTTCTATGATTCGTAACAAGAAGAATCTTTGTGTAATTAATTCTCTAAAAAGGTACATTTTTCAATTTTAAAGTTACTAGAATATTAAATGACATATTTCTTTAATTATAAAAACTTTGATGTGACAGTTAATATGCAAAATTAAAACTATATACGTCTCTTTCACTTTACATATCTTTTATTTGTAAATAACGTATTATTAGACGTTAAAAGAACCACGTGGGACTTGATAACGAGTCGTGCATTTTTTAAGTAGTTCTTTAGTAAAGTGCCAAAAATTTGGGGTGTATCAACAGGACCCACTCAAAATCATAAATATCTATACTCCGTTCAACGAGAGAAAGACCTCGGATTGGACGAAAACTCGAGGGGATAACCACTAGCTGAAATATTGTCCCACAGATTACATGACATCATATGATTTTATCTGATTACAAATAATTTTTTCACTACATATCTAAGTCATTTGGTAAAATACGAGTATACGAATTTATTTAATATTATACAATGATTTATCGTGGTTGCATATGTAATTATCGGATTATACATAGAGATTTCATATGAATTTTATAATGATTTCGAGGACTCTGTCCCACTATTACATTAAGTGGTTACCTCCTCGCGAAAACTCGTCCGTTTTGCGCAGGTCTTCATAACGTTGTACAGCATTACATTGTCTGCTATACGCAAACCGAGGTTATTCTCTCATTGAACAGAGTATGTATAATTCGGATAAAATATTAAAACTATGTACATATATTTTAATGGAATAGTATGAAATATACGCTAATAAATCAAGAACTGCATCTTCACCAAACGAAAACAAGGTAACAGTATGATTACTTTTCAAGGTTAAATTTATATGCAAGTTTATGCATGTAAAATATCTTTCCAGAATGACCATTGACCTATCACTTTCTTATAATCATTATAATAGTAATTTTTTGAACTTATAATATTATTTTTTCGCGGAGAAGTCTATAGTAATATTTGTGTGCAATTATAATCAAAGGAGCGTCTCCGATCTCCGATCTTTACCCGTCACTCCCGTGTAGCACGAAATATTGCAGCAATATTTTAGTAATGCGCAATATTACAAAAATTGCAATAATATGGCTGCAGAAATTTTAATATTTTATTGGAAATATTGTAACAATATTGTGAAATATTGTAGTTTTAATATTTTGTAGAAACTGTTGCAATATATTGTTGCAATACTATATTCGACATGTAAATACGCGGTCCCTTTAACAAGATAGACGCATTTCTCGTAAGAAGAAAACATCCAGAAATCTTATAAGAAAGAATAGGGTAAATCGAGTTGACGAGTCTCCTGGAGATTCCCAAGTTTCTTCGAGTGTGCTTTCCAGGCCTCCAAATTTTGATCATAAATTTATTGTATGTTTGGAGTGCTAAGCAATATAATATTTTATATGTATATATATACAGGGTGTCTCAGAAAATGTTACTGAAACACAGTGGGGACATAGATTGGATCAAGGGGAACAAAACAGTTTTGTACCATTTTGCAGTT